AAGCGAACACCGAGACGGTCGTCTGCTACATGGACAGACTTCTTTACGAAACCCCTGAACGAAAGGAATGTTTTGCCCCGTGACCCCAAGCGAGTGAGATTCACTGGACTACTCTGGCTCGCGACAGGAACGAATGGAAGTGTTACTGGCGCCCGCTCGAGGAAATCGATGATCATCGGGCGAAGGTGATACAGGTGATTATCAGTGTTAGCATCCTGCCTCCTGTGTTTCTACCAAGTTCAAACACGTCATATCATGTAATGCGATATATGGAATGGGAAAGCATGGGAATGAAGGTCGATGGCCGCTACTTTTATCAGCTCCGCTTTGCAGAGATATCGTGCTTATAACACCAAACATCGAGCAGCACGAACAAATGCTTGGGTGACAGTACTTGTGGAAATATCGGCTTGAGGCTGAACTTAACGAAGACGACGTTTATGAAAAACGCAACGGTTCCTGATGCTCGCTTCACGCTGAACGGAACGAATATCTCTGAATAATCCAGCTATGTGTGTTTGGTCAGGAAGTCAATATGATGAACGACATAGCTCCGGAGCTGTGCAGAAATAAACGCGACGCGTGAAGAGCATTCAAGAATGTCGAGGGAGTATTGAAGAGAACGAAGAACATCCGGCTCCGCGTTCACCTTTCCGATACTGCTTCGACTTCCTGCTTCGACTTACGCCTTGGAGACTTGGACTCTACGAGAGCAGGAATAGTATGCAGTTAGTATCATTCAACGCGCTGCGGATAGGACAATGCTAGGAATTTCCCTATACACGCAAGTGTATAAGGGTATCCGGGATTTCGAGCTCTGTCGACGAACGAATATCAGGGATGCCATTGAACACGCCAAGAAACCCAAAACCAGATGGGCCGGGCACTTCATGCGATGTAATGATGACCGTTGGATTACGGACTGGATACCTCGTAACGTCAAGCGAATACCAGGACGACCGCAGGCCCGATGGTCAGACTTCCTCACGAAAGCTCTGAACGAAAAGAATGTTTTACCCTGTGTTCCTCGAGCGAGTACGATCCACTGGACTACTTTGGCTTGCGACAGGGACGAGTGGAGAAGTTACTGGCGCCCGCTCGAGGAAGTCAACGATCAACGGAATGACAGGTGATATAGGCGATCAGACTCTGACACCCACTTGTTTGGATTGAAGATGTCCTGAGAGGCGGAGAAGCTATAGGCATTCTAACGACTGGTGTGCGGTAGGGAGTATGAAGCACAAAAAGCACGCTTTTTTGAAGAGTGGGATCTGAAGGGAGGGAGAGTTGCGGCTGTTACGGTGTCAGGAGGGGAGTCAAATAATCAGTGTTTTGATCTATCAATAACCTGTTGGAGAAACTGCGCGGGAAAATGGCGCCGAGCGAAAACAAGGCGCCAATAGAGGCAGCCGACGTTTAGCAAAACCGAGAGGAAGCCCGCCGCTCTTCTCGTGAGGAGAAAAAACCCTTCCAGCATCAACCCCCCAGGCTCTACCTCTTTTTTTGCCTTATCTGTGTGTGGGAATCGACAACCGATTCTCGATTTCTTGTTGTCTCGCGAGTAATAGTTGCATTTTTTCTTGTACTTCGAAGCTCTCAATAACGATACCTCTTTTCGAAATCTCTTCGCAGTATTACCTCTGTGGCTACACCCCAATGTTTGTTTTTTTGGTGCGATACCATTCTTTTGTTTTGTTGCAAGTTGCCATGCAATAATTCTGATAATTTGTACGTGTAGACCAATGTACGTGCGATAAAAGAATTGCATGGCTGAAGTTTGGTATTGATCGGCGAATCGGTTTATTACCACGTGAGTATTTGACCGTACTCCTTGAGGTACCGACTTGGGGGCCAAGCAGCACTGATCACTAAAGCTCACGTTTTTTTCAGAGCGACTCGCGCTGGTCAAAAGAAGGTCGTGAGCAGCAGGGATAAAGCCGGCGCTACATGCCGTGACACTGTATTGTTTTTTTGCAAACCCATATCGTAAACAGTTCAGTGAGAAGAGAAGAGCCCAATGGAGACGGGCAACTACCTGTCGCAGCCGCAAGAGCTGGACGTCGCGACCCAGATGACTACCCTAGCAGCTACGGAAATCACCAATAAGATGGAAAAGGCCAAACCTCAGGTGAGCGACACCGAAGGGCTCATAAAGAGATTGCGCAGGGAAATCAAAGAAATGGTAACCCAAGCCGAAATTGCGTTAGCGCAACTTTTCACTCTTCTGACAAAAGGTGCACTGCTGTGTTGGAAGCAATCAGTGACAAGATCAGTACTGTATTAGCACTGGTTGAGAGTCTGAATGAGCAAAGCAGCGGCCAATACGACAGTAGGCCACGTAGAAGATATACTGCAAAAGTTATGCGATGTAAATGAGTGCGCCCTAATGATGTAATAAGGGTAACAATTGGAATTATCAGCAAACTTAACAATTTGCAGATCGAAAATGCTCAACTGCGAGAAAGAATGCTCGGAAAAACGCCGAGAAGAACTGTACGGGCCAGAAGGCACACGTATGGATGATGAGTCCGAGCCGCACAGAGAAGTGCTCAAAAACAACGATAGTGATAGAGAGCTTTCGTTGCAGTTGATGAAAAAAATGAAGTCATCTAGACGAGAAACGACCCTATATTTGTCAAGTGGGCAAACAGGTATGTCTAGCGAGGATTCAGAAAATGAAAGAGTGTTAGCCAAAGAGTTTGAAGTAACACTAGAATAGGTGTAGTGGATGAAAAAATGAGAGACTTCTTCCGCTCACTAACTATGCCTGACATTAAGGTTTCCAGCAATAAATCTAATCAAAAGTTTGAAGATTTCACGAGATCCTTCAAATTGAAGTATCCGCATAGGGCGTACAGCGTAAAGGATCGCAAGGAGATCCCGGTAGGATACGTAAAGTTTAAAGTTTAAAAGTTTTTGGCGTTGATCAATCCCGTCTGAGGGATGCGCTCCCGCACTCGACTTCCATTCAAAATCGTAGTGGCGTGATGAGTGCGTATGAGGCCTATACAATGACTTACAGTGGCAGGATGTACAAGACAGTGCTGTTGTCCTCCCAGACGAGTCTGGTACCAATTAACCGACCCCGGCTGATGGAAGGCTAAGCTGACCTAGGCAGATTTTGATCCGTGATTCAAACCCCTGACCATGCGTGTGAGGTAGCGCCACTCGCCACTACACCACCTCCGCCCCAGGATACTTAAGGGAAGCAAAATTACATTACAATACGTTATCTAGTGCACTCTATAACAGCTCCTTCGGCACGGTTGTCGAAGAACTGAAAAAACCGCATGAGACCCGAAAGTCAAGAGTCTCAAGAGGAGCACTGAGAGCAATGCGAATGTTGAAGAAGAAGGAACATCAATCAGTTTTGCAGTTCTGCCTCGAGCTAGGGCTTCTCTCATCGAAAGCATACCCGAGCCGCGATGAAACAGCCCTTGCACTTATTCGAGCAGAAGTGTTGCACGAGCAGCTCCGTGAGTGGCCGGAGGCTCGTATGAAATCTCAACCAATGGAGAGGGGTATAAGTCTATGGGCTTATGAAGGACGCTGCGTTGCGCATCGGGCCCTTGCGCAAGAGACGATATGACTTCAATGAGAAGAAACTGGATAAACGGGAAAGGAGCGGACCAGGCCTAAAACAACAAACAACTGCGAAGGGAGCCCCCTACGTAGACGTAAGGATCTCAGTGCTTTTGTCCTATTGGTCAAAAAAGGACAAAAGAAAGGCACATAATTCTTTCAGGGCTACGCTGAAAGGGTGGTCCTGCAGCGCAAGCATGCCAGGCACGAAGGTGTGTAGCCTAATAAGCCCGAAGCATATGGTCAAGCTGCAGTGTCTGGAGTTAGAGCTCCCGGCTATGATCGACACTGGATCTCAGCTAACCATCATGCCACTCAGCTTCCTGCTTAAAGCGAAAAAAGCAGGAGCGGATGTCGACACGCTCTGTAAAGAGGTAAAAGCCCGAGATATGGAAGTCTTTGACGCTTCAGGAAACCTGATGAGTTTCGTAGGGTGCATGGAGGCAGAGCTGAAACTCCCTGGAGGAGGAACAAGCCTCGTCCAAATGCACGTAAAGCGATTCAAAAATGAAGTCTTGCTACTAGGAACAAACGCTTTAGAGGCGCTTGGGATAAAAATACTAATCTCATCTGGGAATGAAACACAAGCTCATTGTGACAAGATGGAGGGCGCACGGGGAAAGAAACGCCAGAGTCGGAATTCAAACATCCCACAAAAAGCGCTTATGGCCGTCGTAGCAAAGAGGTCATATGTAAAACCAAAAACTTGTAGTAGAGTATACGTGAGATGCGAACAGCATCCAAAAGATGCAGTCCTGTGGTCACGCACACAACAACAACAACGCAACACAGATGGGTGGATCCTCGGCTTGTAGATGCCAAATCAGACATGCTGGAGTTGTCGAAAGAGCATATTACAGAGCGAAACATGGAGATGCTCCTTGACCATCTAAGCGCGAACAAATCTGGAGAGCTCTCTCAGAAGTTGGAAATGCTAGTCCAGGAGTTTGCTGATGTATTTGTTGTTAGCGACCACGAAAGGAAACACAAAGCCAATAAGGCAGAACGTCCGCCCAGTTCCACGAGGAGTTCAACCGGAATTCAAAACCATACTGAGCGACATGGTAGCTAGAGGCGCTATCGCGAAGCCCAATTCGGACTGTCGTCTCCTGTTATCTTGGTGCAAAACAAGGACAAAACATTGAGACTCTGTATCGATTACAAAGTTCGCAACAAACATTTTCAACAAGACTCCTATCCGTTGCCGACGATCGACACGGTACTGCAAAGTCTAACAGGCAAGAAATATTTCAGTACCCTCGACATGGCATCTGGTTACTGGCAGGTGAAGCTTAGCAGTGACGCGCATAGAAAGAGCGTGTTCACTACTCCAGAAGGCCTGTTTGAGTTAAAAAGTCCTGTCATTTAGACTGAGCACGTTCCCAGCCATATTCCAAAGGTTGATGGAAATGGGTTTATCTGAACTGAAAGGGGATGAAGTTTTTGTATATATTGACGACATACTGCTAGCAACTGAGAGTGAGGAAAGGCATCTGGAAGGGGTGTGGGACGTTAGTCTTGGCTAACATTACTTCGCGCCGAGGTGCAAAGTGACCTCAACTTAATTACGCGCCTCCCCTTGATCGTAACTAACCTAATCTCACTTATGAGAGTGATGGCGAATGATAGGAATGATGAAAAAAATGAAAGTTTAAACGAATTAGTTCTTCAACGTAAAGTTTTCATGGTCTTTAAGTTGAAAAGTTTTTTTTTTCAAGCAAGATGATAGGAATTTCAACGAAAAAAAATCTAATAAAATGTGAAGAAGCCCAATATTTCCAATAGGAAGTATCTAAAAATAATAATGAAACAACCCAGATGGTCTTGTTCGTTACGAATTTGGACATGTTTATGCGAAACTCCTCAATTTGGATGCGATTTGCTCCATACGCTTTATACGGAAGTAGCGTAGTGTAATGGTTGTGGTGCGGGGTCGAGTTGCATTAGTGGAGGTTGCGTCGGTACGCAAGTAGCACAGTAAAAGGGTTGGGGTGCGGGATGGAGCTGCGTTGAAGTTGAAGGGTACCCCGTGAAATCTCGGAAGTAGTAGAAAGTGTCTTCAGAATACATAGTAAAGTTCTAAACAAGATAGTTGTATGTAAATCGCTCACCCACCAGCTTAAATAGTGGCTGATGACCTCTCTTCAATGTGCTGAATTCAGCCTGAAGTATTGTAATATTCCATGAGAAGTGTAAAATGGCCTAACTGATCGGCCGGCGGGCTTTCAATGACCTTTCAAACAGGAGATGCCCCAAAATCAAGCAACTACGTCGCTTCTGTAAATGTTGTTCGATATCACAGATGAGTGGAAGTGCAGAAAAAGGGTGTTTTTTACATCATACAGGGACTTCATTTTTGTGACCCTCGAATTTTTCTATTCCATATGGCAATAGAACTTTTAAAACCAATTCCAAGAAATTTTACGTTAAAAAACCACTTCCTAAAATTCCATTTTCTCACCATTCTCATCATTGTCATCACTCTCATAAGTAAGATGGGGTTAGTTACGATCAAGGGGAGGCGCGTAATTAAGATGAGGTTAGCAACGATTGGGGTCACTTCGCACCTCCGCGCGAAGTAATGTCAGTCAAAACTAACGTCGCACATCCATCTGGAAGTGCTAAGAAAAGTGTTCCTTGCTTTTCGGAAAGCTAACCTGAAAGTGAAATTCAAAAAATGCACACTGCTCGAGAATAACGTAGCTTTCTTAGAACATGTTCTGGACGAAGGTGGTGTGAAAACCGATTCAGAGAGGGTCGGAAAGGTGAGAAACTATCCTTGGTCGAATACCATCGCAGAAGTAGCACATTCCTTGGCATGTGCGGCTACTACAGGAAATTTATCCTTAACTTTTCGAAGATCGTAAAAGGGCCTCTTCGAGCTAACGAGCTCGCGCGGGCCTTACTGTTGGAAGGATGAGCACGACGAGGCTTTTGAAAACTTGAAAAATGCAATCACGAGGGCCCAGTGCTGGACCAACCTAATGTGCAAGCGGTCCGATCGGGTGAAAAGCCCTATATCATATACACTGACGCAAGCACTCACGGAGTTGGTCTGTCCTCTGCCAAGAAGGCGATGACAAAATAATCCATCCATTGTATTTTGCTTCAAAAAGGCTACCTAAAGCAGAAGAACGGTATCATGTTACCGACCTCAAAGCATTAGCTATAGTTTCGCATTGAAAAAAACTCCACTTTTTTGTTTTCGGTGTGATAAGCATAGTGCGCACAAACCATCAACCACTCACAACTCTGTTTAAACGATCTATTGACTCACCGAGAGTGATACGCTGGGCCCTGAAAGTGAAGTTGTACCAGCTGAAGGTCAAATACGTCAAAGGCGAAGCCAACCGCGTAACCGATGCGTTATCTAGAGGACGGACCGAAAGCGTAGAGGCCCAACAAGATAGCGTAGAGCTCGTCAAAGTCGAAAACTCGGTACAAACCGAGAAAAGCTGGTTCGAAGAGCTACAGCACTACGGGGTGCGCGATAACGAAGCTACAGCAAGGGAAAGATCTCGATGAAGTGAGTCTGCCGAGGCATCAAAAATCTTTCCGTGTGACGATTTTTGCATCCACCAGGACAACTTATGCTTGATCCTCGAAGATGGTACAGTTGCAAAGGTAGTTCCACGCTCAAGAAAGCGCGCAGTATCAATGAGGCACATTCAGGTGTGCTGGCAGGGCACCTCAATGTCCGAAAAATCTTCCAGAGACTCAGGATAGAAGTTTTTTGGGAAGGAGTGCGCGAAGCTATCGCATTGTGGTGTAAACAGTGACGTGACTGTTTTCTGACAAACAATCGAAAAGATTGCGTCCCACCACTGATGCCGTTTCTCCTGACGTTTGATAAAATCATTTGAGGTCATAGGAGTTGATGTGCTAGAAGTCGGGTTGTCAACAAGCGGCAACAGATACCTAGTTGTTGTGATTGACCCCCCACTTCTCTAAGTGGCTAGCAGCATATCCAGCCCCGACAAAGTCGGCGGAAGATATAGCCCGACTAGTGTTTATCAGATGGATCTGTGAAGGAGGCAAGTGGCCAAAAACTATATCATCGGATCAGGGAAAAGAATTTGAGAACGATGTGATGGAGGCAATTTGCCGAGTCGCAGGAATATCACAAACATTCACGAAGGGGTACAATACCCACGAAAACGGTGTGACGGAGAGAGCCAACCAAACGCTGTTAAGGGTGCTGAAGAAGCGAGGTGGAATAACAGTGGAATGTGACAAGGTGATCCCGGACGTCACGTATGCATATAATGTAAGCCCGCTTGCAGCCACGGGCAAGAGTCCATTTTTCGCTCTTTATAAGTTTGACCCCGTATATCCATCAAATGTGATACCTGCTAGCGAAACCTCGCCTTATCGAATGGACATGGACGACTATCGTTCCAATCTGATGTTTGGAATGAAGCTAACGCAAGATCTCATAAAAGGAAATGCTGAAAGCTACACAAATAAGATGAAAAAGCAGTACGATAAAGGACTAGACGTGGACTCTAGTAAGCTCCCCAAGGTCGGAGAGTGTTTTTCAAAATGCCCGCTGAAAAAGGCAAATCGGAACACCCGAAACTAACCCATCCTTGGGCAGGCCCTCTGCACTAATAACAGAGATAGGAGCAAAATCGGAACCATTGAGGGTTCATCATGATCTTCTTCAGAGAGTACCCGCGTACATTGACGATACACCTATGCAAACAAAGCCTAAGATAGAAAAGAGAAAAAAGAGCAACAGTAATGGTGCATAGCGTTAACATTGGTGAGAGATGTCGTTTTAGGCGCTACCCGAAGCAGCTCATTCTGACAGACGACGTCACACATCCTCTCCATATGAAATTCTTGTGTCATGGAAACCCGAGACTTTAATGGATTTCGTCTCTCGGTGCCATGTCCTTTGCTGACGGACGCACAAGCGACACGTCTGGACCACGTATTGAAAGGCCTACCAGTGCACATGCAGGGAATACGATTCGATAATGTGTACCGATTGGCTCAGCTAGTGCAAGTCTAGCTGCAAGACAAACTGACGGAGCGAGAAAAACTTGTGGAAATGGCAAAGAAAGCCAATGAAATCTCAGCAGAAGCGCTGGCAGTTGCACTTTTGTATTACAGAGGCAACTGTTTGCATTTTCAGCTCAGCGAGAAGAAACTCGAACCCTACGATTCTTACCATGAAAACATTCGATTATGCGGAAGATTGAGCGCAGTATTTCAGAACGCCATGAGCCTTATTTACGACAAGAACTGGGAAGGTCTGTGGGAAAAACCGAGGCGCTCACAATTACTTTTCGTTCCGAAGAACCCGGAAAATATCCTCACGTGCTTGCCGGAAAGAGTCAAAGGTGTCATTTACAACAACGATTCCATACCGCCCCCGGATGACGAGAGCGATGTGATCATCATCGGAAAAAGTTTGTCGGACAAGGAAATCAGTTTACACGTGTAACGACCATGACTAGACAGCTTGAGATTGATGGACGTAAATCTCGTCATTGGAATGGCACCACCAGAGCGCAATTCCAAAGCGAATATCCGCATGTGGGATCACGCAGCCTCAAACGTCTAAGTCGTTCTCAGCACCATAACTCCGTACAAGGATGTCGAGTTTTTTGGGAAAGACGCCCCACCAGAGGAATGGGATAATACCATACGATGCCTCGGGAGTGACCCCTACGACTACAATGATATAGTCGGACGTTTCAAGATTCGTTTTTGGTATGAGAGGCTACGTAAATTATGGATGCACCACTGGCCGGAACCAAGCACTGAGACAGACGAAAAAACCGTCAGTCGCAAAAGAAGCGCCAACTGCTCGGAAGCTGGTCGAACGGGCAGAAATATGCCCAATCATGGACGATTTTGGCACCATGGTCGATGTGAGACACGTAAGTTCTCTAAGAAAATACGAGTGAAGAGATCACTTTTTTAAACCCGGGGGATGTCAGGAGGGGAGTCAAATAACCAATGTTCTGACCTATCAATAATCTATTGCGGAAACTGCGCGGGAAAATGGCGCCGAGCGAAAACAAGGCGCCGATAGAGGCAGTCGACGTTTCGCTACACCGACAGGAAACCCGCCGCTCTTCTCGTAAGGAGAAGAAACCCTGCCAGCATCAACCTCCCAGGCTCCCCTTCTTTTTTTGCCTTATCTGTGTGTGGGAATCGACAACCGATTCTCGATTTCTTGTTGTCTCGCGAGTAATAGTTGCATTTTTTCTTGTACTTCGAAGCTCTCAATAACGATACCTCTTTTCGAGATCTCCAGTATCACCTCTGTGGCTACACCACAATGTTTGTTTTTCTGGTGCGATACCATTCTTTTGTTTTGTTGCGAGTTGCCATGCAATAATTCTGATAATTTGTAGTGTAGACCGACGTGCAATAAAAGAATTGCATGGCGGAAGTTTGGTATTGATCGTCGAATCGGTTTATTGTCACGTGAGTATATGACCATACTTCCTGAAAGAGTAAGTAGTACCGACTAGGGAGGACGGAACAGACACGGCGAGAAAAGAGAGAAAGGACAAAAGATAAAGGAAAGGATTATTCTGTATGGATATAAGTCAATAATTTTGTTGGTCTATATGTCGGCATGTCGCTCTGTTTGTCAACCCGCAATAAGTCACGTAGGCGCAGACGCGATCAGGGGTGTGAAACGTCAAGTAAACGCGGTGAGGAAAGTGAATTGAAATAATTGAAGTGAAAGTGAAATTAAGCATTTTCCTCCTACTTTTAGTCGGGGTAACGGAACTTCTCCCCGATCGCGGCATTCTCCCTTGCGGCATGCGGCAAATTCATGCATATTTCCGTGCTCACCCCGCCTCCCCGCCAATCGATATGACGCAATATTTTTCTTTGGTTGCCTTTATTTTTTATTATTTTTGATCGTTTTTACTCTCTTTTTCTTGTTTTTATGTTTATTAGACTTATTTAATTAGAATGACTNTTTCCTCCTACTTTTAGTCGGGGTAACGGAACTTCTCCCCGATCGCGGCATTCTCCCTTGCGGCATGCGGCAAATCTCACTGCAGTTACCGTACTCACCCCGCCTCCCCGCCAATCGATAGGACGCGATATTTTTCGTTGATTGCCTTGCTTTTTTATTGGATTTGATGGTTTTTCCTTCTGTTTCTTTTTCGTTTATTAGACTTGATTAATTAAAATGACTCCTCCTATGTAAGCGACGATCAAGACTGCATTGAAATTGAAGAAAGCGGTCAGCCAATTCAAATAATTAAAGGACTCCCTACCTCACAAATCGCGCGCTCGAATCTTCCATCGCAATCCTGCGATACGCGGCGGGTGCGACGTGTGCGACGCCGTGTTAAGGGAGAAGATCCCAGACCCCTTTTAGTCGTTTAGCCGCAAGATGGACTTAACTTGATTTTTTTTTCCTATCACAGCGCCGGTAAACATTCGAGAATTATAGAAGGCAGGATTGGAAAGCTTTCACATTGACGTATTCAAACAATATCAGCCGATATTGATCTGTGTTGCCAGCAATAGGGTAATCTGCATTTCCTCAGCCACAAAAAGTCAAACCTCCAGAAGGAATGGGATATAGTACCAATTGAGCTGGATATCTACAAAGCAGCCTCAGAACGTTCAAGTTAGAAGAATCAACTCATTCTCACACTTCGAACGTTTCGCTAATTTCCATCCTATTGCATTTCTAGTGCGTAATTTGCTACACTTAAATCTGGGTGGAATTTTGAATGTTATTTTACTTGATAACTATGAACATCAAAGAGCTTTTCACTGTGAAATGCTCCACTCTAGATACTTTTTGCCAAAAAAAATTCGTTTCCCCAGATTTCCCAAAAACGAAACCGAGACGGTAATTAGGGTTGAGTATTGTTGCGCACACTGTTACAATGCGAAGTACGGCACATAAAAGACGATTCTCCATTGTGCTTGAACAGGAATAAGCATAAGTGGTCGTGGATATGTGCTGCGCGCAATAGCGTGCGTAGCTAATAGGTGTAGGAGATGAAACAAACTACAAACGAGACTAACAATGAAAGGATCTCAAGCAGAAAAGATCATTCGAGTGAGACTCACATCGCGAGACGTACATCTGAATGCTGATTTCAAAATTGCCTTTCAACTTTGCAAAACGATTCTCGGAACAGACTTTAAAGGTGGATTAGGGTGAGTGTTCGAAATAAACGAACACGAAATATATGAGAGAAACTGAGTTCATAGCACTGGTGTGCAGCAGTTCTGAATGTGTCGCTCTTACTCATGAGACCGACGATCGGGTCATATGAAGGACGCAGGGCTCTTTCACCTTCCGTGAATTTTCCTCGAGGGAGAAAGAAAGCCTTCGAAGGATGGTTCCACCTTCAGCAACCTTTCAGTGCATGAGGTGATTCGGTTTATGCTTAGGTTTTTGTTTATTTTGAGCGCGCACCCAACCCTCCATCATAAAACCGTCCAGAGCATCGCCTGGCAAAATTGAAACGCATCCTCCCCTTGTTAGAAAGAAAGCGGCGAGACTATTTGATTTCCAGTACATAACTATAAGTTTGTTTCTGCTGACTGAAGCAGTGAGATGATTTTATTCATGAATACCTGAAACTGAAAACTGAGAATAAATGAACCGTACAGAAGTAGGGTGACTTCATTTTTGTCATGGTATTGATGTTAGGAAAGAAAAAGTTCAGAAAACTTTTGTAACGAGGAGTACATGACGAACATTCCGACATCACTTAGCTAAAACGAAGTAGGGTAAGAGATCACTACTACGAGAGGGGAGAAAAAGGCATTCGTAGGTGCTGCAACGATTTATTGATTTTCGCATTGAATATTGGAGGAGAATGATAGGAGTGCAAAACAAAACGTATCCAAACCACCCTGTGAATCATGTATGAATGTCCTCTCAGGAAATCTTACATGAGACGTACACCCGAATAGGAAACAATCAGGCTGGAAGATGTGCAAACAATGAAATAGTTTTCCAATTTATGCAGAGACAAACGGCATAGTAAGCGCGAACGGAACACAGCAACAAGACATTATTATACTTGCTAAAGTGGCAGTACTCCGATGATCTGCCCATTTGGTAAGACAAAAGCATTGTCTGAAAGCTAGTTCTATGTCAAAACTTACATATGACAACTTTCACGAAGTTCAAGTACATGTGGAAATATTAAATTTTCAAACAGCAGTAGTTTCTGGATGCTAAAACGTAACTCTGTCACAATGGAGAAGCTCCACCGCTACAAATCACTTTTCGTGAACATCGTGGTATTGCACGCCCATGAGTAGAACATACACTTGTTTCAGTTTCTATGAGTGAAAGTCAACGTGAGGTAGCTGCTGCCTGCCCTGTCCAATTAACATGTTTACCATTATTCTCTGAGCGACATTTCAAATTGATCTCTCTCTCTCTTGATCAAATTGATTCAATCAGAAATGATCAAACTAGCAAAGAAATACAGCGCAGAACAAGCCTTCCAGCGTGTCATTAGGAGGCGCTCGAACTTCATATTTTTAGTGATAAAAAGCATGTGATGTTGACTATGACAAATGCATAAACAAAACAGGTACTCTTTATTTGTGCACTCCAAAGTAATGGCAATAACATGGATGGTATAGTGGCAAATGACGCACCATCACACAAAAGGTTCGAGGATATATTCCTGGACTGATACTCGCTCAAGCTAACTAACCTTTCATCCCTCCAGGAGTGGTTGCTTGGCACGGGTGTGTCTGTGAGGATAAAGGCACTAAATCTTACATCGACTACCCGACACAAGTCATTGTTAAGCCATTCAAAATGCCTTCGCGATTTCAAAGGGAAGCGAACTCGAAGGGAAGACGTATTTTAAAAGACGTATCTTAAAAGCTTCAATGAAGACGTAAAAGGTCTTTTCCTTCATCAACCTATCACCGTCTTTAAGCACGCCTTTTCCTTGCCTCAAAATATGCCGCAACCTGTGTATGGTGAAGGACCGATATCAAGTAATCGTTGGATTTAAAACTCTTCTCGTGTGCTGTCCTCTCTGGTGACTATTCTTTTTTGTAGCAAATAGACACTGAATGAACATTCCTTACCTGCATCGATCCGTTTTGATGGGATAACATGTTTGTATTGCACATTCACAATGCTTTTCCTATATAAGCGCTAAGTGGCTCTCATCAGTTATTGAACCCGTTGAAGGCTGTGATGAGGCGAATCTCTCAGAGCATTGTCCCTTTTTTGATTTGATTGACGGCTTCGCAAAAGCTCTGCGCGAGATTATCGATATTCCTTGTCACTAAAGCCTTCGAACTAATCAAGGAAGAATCCCAAGTCGAAATGGCCATTTGAAATGAGACCTACACTGCCAGAGTGCTTTTAAATGGTGATTTCAAATGTGGTCTCTGAATTTGCCGGACGGTTCTCTAAATGGAGTTTTGAGGCGATTTCGGTGAGACCTCACATAAGGGAACATAATTTACATGGATGTCCCAGGTTCTTCAGCAGCGGGTTGGATCAGTGGTTAGGGTTACGCTTCATGTGCGAGAGAATGAGATTCGGGTTTGGG